TCAGTCTTCGAGGGGGCAGAAGCTCTGATGGTGTAGCCCTGGTTTCGGGCACCTGAGGGGGGGGTCGGCGGGGTCGAGTGACGGCTCTTTCTCTCGTTGCTCTGCCCCCGCAGTACGGCAGCGACGTGAAGGCGCGGGACGCCCAGGGCCAGACGGCGCTGGCGCTGGCACGCAGGGCGGGCAGCCAGGAGTGCGTCGACATCCTGCTGCAGCACGGCTGCCCCAACGAGATGCCCCCCGCCATGCCCACGCCTGGTCTCTCCCGCAAAGCCAGCACTGCCAGCCTGAGCCGCGCCAACTCCCGCAGGGGGGTGTCATAGCTGCGAACCCCAACCCCTCTACACCCTCCCCTCCCACCCCCACCCCACCCCCCACCCCCTGCTGGACACAAGCACACAGTGCACAGACAGCCTGCTGCCAGGCCAGGGACACACACACAGGCAGCGGCGGCGTTCCCAAGCGTGCAGGCTGGCAGTAAATTACCGAGGACTCGGACACACACACACACACAGATTCGAGGATGTGGACATACTGGCACGCAGGCAGGCCGCACCCTCATTGCACATTCTTAGCACCGATACCCAGACACAAAGCCGGTCACAGGGCCAGAGGCGCTCAGCAGTTTAAAAAAGAGGTGACCGGGATAAAAATGCCTTTGTCTCCTGCCCTGAGACAGCGAGCCGTCTCCTGGGCAGTGGGGATCGGTGCAGCACTGACGTTTCGTCTGGGGCAGCTTCACATCCCCAGTGAGGTCTCCAGTGTTGCACGTCACCGCCTCGTCCCGGAGGAGCCCCGGCCAGGCGGGGATAACGGGGCCGCTGGGAGAGTGGATCCCGCTCACGGTCCTCGGAGCGGCGGGCGCAGGGGGCGAGGCACTCGCCGCCGCTCAGAGCCCGTCCCGGCCAGGTCCACAGCGCGGAGACCCACAGCGATGGCGCCAGTGGCACAAGGCGGGCAGAGCCAGTCACGAGAGCAGGAGCAGGTCGCCGGAGCGAGCTGCGCGTCACGGCAACAAGCGGCATGTCGTGACGGCAGGTACCGCGTCACGACGGGCGACAGCGTATCGCGGCAGCACGATACCGGCAGCCTGCCGCGACAGCGAACAGGGCGTCACGATTGCAGGGATGACCCAAGAGCAAGGGAGCCAAGACGACAACAGACCAGGACAATGATGAGAAACTGTTGGGAAGGACAATGGCGGAGACCGGCTGGGCCACTCCGGACAGGTCTCTGCTGCAAAGCCCAGTTAGCACTCGGGCCGGCCCCCACAGAACTTCGCAGTCGGCCCAGAGCGAGCACCGCACTTTGGAGAGACCCCTCTCCGCCTGGCAGGACAGATTCGGAGGAAACAGGGTCGAGCACAAAGGGAGCTTGAGGAGGTGTTTTGGCAGCACAGGGTCCTAGATACCCCCGCGCCATTGGAAGCAAGACAGCTGGGAAGATTCTCACGAGCAATACCACTCTGCACCTTTAACACAGGAAGTAGGTGCGGACCCCGGAGCCCAACAGGTGCTCGTCTTGCCCAACCAGGTCCAGAGAGAGAGAGCGGGTGTCGAGTCCAGCCTCTGGGATCTTTGTTGCGTTACCTTTCTTGTACAAAACTGAAATTTTTAGATGTGTTTTAAAAAAAAAATCTGTGTTGTGCATTGCAAGGAAGAGTATTGCCGTCCATATCCAGTCCTTGACATCTCTCGTGCATTTGGTTATTAAACGTCGATAAGGTCGAATTACAATGAAAACATGGGGAGCGAATTCTTACTCTCCCTGGCACGTCGTGCCACACAGAGTAATTAAGAAACCAGCAAACGAGTTGGTGTTGCTTCAGTTCAGGGAGTGAAAGAGCACAGTATTATCGGGGAGCAGGGGTGGCAACATCGTCTTGCAGAAGGTCAGAGTTTACACAAGTCTACTGCTGAGATGGTCTATTCAGATTAATAATTGAAAACTGTTCTAAAAAAAGAGTATTGTAAAATATATATATATAATGATATTATTATTGCTATTGATAATGTATGTACAAGATTGTAATTGTATGTAATGAAATTTGTATGACTATCTAGGATGACTATCTTGTCTGTAACAGGTGATGGGTTATGATTTGACGTTCAGAAATCTGCATCAGTGGTGATGTTTTTTAAGTGATGTTTTCTGTTTAAATATGCTATTTTTTTATTACGCTCAGTGTTGGATTTTTCTAATTCCTGTTCAGGTTACCGTGCTAGGCCGAGGGCCCCGGGTCTTCTCTCAGAATTCAGGCCTGGTCAGCTGTGTCACTGGGCCAGAGCACCAGGGCGGAGCTGTGTGGGTAAAATGACAAGTAACAACACTGTACAGTGCAGCTCGGTCAAATACAAGTCACTATGGTAGAGTCTGGAACAGTGCAGTATAATACAGATAACAAGAGTTAAATTACAGAATGGTATAACAAAGTACGGGCAATACAGCTCAGATCTGTGCCTGTCCAAGACAGCACAGTTAATACAGTACGTCTGATGCAACACAGCACAGCGTAAACGGTGTCAGATCTCTCATCCTTCCAGCCCCCGAAACACAGCCTGGCTCAGCTCGGACCTGCAGGGGCTGGTGAAACGGGTGTCCAGTATCACAGGACGGAGACACACCACGCAGCGTAACATTGCGTGGGGCCGCACCGCCCAGCGCGAGGCTTCTCTTTTACTTTGTTTTTCCAAACGTGAAACTTTTATCTGCTGTAAAAAAAATAAAACTTTATATGGAAAAGGTATAAAAAAAAGGTTGGTCTGAAATCGTCTTTTGTTCTCCCTCTGCCTTGGCTCTGGCTGGCTGTGCCGCGGTGAAATGGTCAGACCGAGGTGACACAACACCAGACTCAAAAGGGAGCACGCTCTAGCATAGCAGTATCTACCAGCCAGGTGTGGCAGGGCGCGCCCCCTGCACGGTGTGGTGAGATTGTCAGCTAATGCAGCCTACTGGACCACAGGTTAGTGAGAAAATGAAAAAAAAAAGTTTTACATACTCAATATTTTCCTATCTGTCAATTTCGACTAGTTCTCCATCTTATTTCTCAAGAAACGGGACAGTTCTTTAGTGTCAGAGTCCGTCCTCCGGCCGCCGGGTGGCGCTGCTACTTTCCAGCCGACCCCGCTGCTCCGTGTGTGTAATGAGGGGTAGTTCGGTTTTTGTGTTGATGTTGAGAAGTGGAGTCCGAAGAAACCAAAACCGAATCGTTAAACAATCGGATTTATGGGTAAGAGGGTGATTTCCTACAGCACACATTTTGGTGTAGTGTCGTGATCTTTCCTCAGCCTCCTGGCGAAGGTCCTGACAAAGAGAGAGGTGTCAGTTTTATTTTAATTCAAGTTCTCGTATCCAGGGGACGCTGGTGTGATGCATTTTTACAGTATTTGTTACATTAGGTCGTTTTTAATAGCCCAGTGTCGGTTTCGTTGCTGCGTCCAAAAGCATCGATTTCGATTCCTCCTCAGTTTGTTCCTGTTGGCAGTGTGATGTTTATACAACCCTGCACGATCGTCGTCGCTGTTTATTTCTTATTTTTCAGAAGTGCGTTTTTTTGCGGCGAGCAGCAGATCTGTACTCGATAATGTTGCTAAAACGCTGCTCGGATGAGAAACGTTCAAGAAAGTTCAAGATAGAAGAAGAATGTCTAATCCGACATTTTAGCATTCATTGCTAATC